ATGTGAATATTCCTAGACAAATTGTTGGTTGTGTACCTGTGTTCGATTTTAGGGGATAAATATCTAGGAGTGGAAGTGCCAGGTCATATGGTTATTCTATGTTTAACTATTTTAAACAAACTTCAAATTCAGGTTGAAATTTACTCCACAAAATTGAGTCTCGGCACCAAAAATAGCAGCCATATTTTCTGTACTATTGGTAGAAAAACCCAAAACAATTGCTTTGGTAGGTTTTCCAGGTTTTGCTTGTAAAGCAAGATGAGACAGTAGATATAGTCATGGAGAAAGACAGAAGAAAATAGACAAATCAGTTGCTGGTATCCATGACCTCTGACTCTGTCTTACCCTGAAATAGAGCTGTTCCGCATCCCCGCGACAAGCTTATGAAGACATAGGCTCAGCACAGGAATGTGAATAGCAACCAGCAGGCAAAATTTTCTGCAGTGACCCCTCAGTGCTTCCTCAAGGGCCCCTTCTAATCATGAAGATTTCCACTGTATGAGCCATCCTTCTTTGTTTCTTTGTATGCCCTGCAACTTCTTGCAGAAGACTGAGTATTTGGAATAGGATGATGTGACAATTGTGGATGTCAGCTTCTCCCCATCCCCAGCATTTCTTGTTTCTGCTTATTACAATAGTCCTTGTTAGTTTCTTTAGTGAATTTTCAGATCCTCTCCTGCGAGTTCTGTATTCTTTGTCATGTGTGGCCCCTGAAGTCTTTGTCCCCTTAGCCCAAGGGTCAGCTAGGTTTCTGAGTTTACCGGGTCTTCAGATGTCCTCCTTGGGAAAGAGGGTGTGTGAATTCTCTATGTGAGAGGGAGAGCAATCATATCCTTTGGTGAAAAGAAAGAGAGTGTGGTGCCAGCATCCACTTCTGCTTTCACTCTGGCACACAGAAGACTATGTTTCCTAGACCTTTTGGTTTTGGAAAGGATGTGTGGCACCTTCCGACCAGTGGCATCACTTTTAAGCCAAACAATAAAAGAGGATGTGTAAGACACTAGGTGCTCTTTCTGTCCTTTGGTGGCAACTGAAGAATGCATCAGTCTCAGGTGGTGTACCAACAAGATCGTGGGGCCTCCATCAGCCTTGCCCCACATGACTTAGGAAGCAGGGGTCCCTTCACCTCAACTATCAATGTATGATGTAAATCTGAGGAGAAATACATCTTTAGTAATGAATTTCTCAATTGTTGTGTTTATTACCAGAGCATTACCTAAGTTATCCTGGAGATTACAATGACCTACCCTCTCAGATCGTCTAACAGATAATTCTTCCAGACCAGCATTTGCCAAATCTCATGCTGCTGTGTTCAGCATTAATGTCTCCTGATTGCTGCTTGTCGCAGATGGGGCCCTGGAAAGAGACTGTGACGGGGAGGATTCCATGTGTAAGGTTTAGGGAAGGGTTCTGGGGAGATATCCCCATGGAAGTTAGCAAGGCGGGGATAGTTGAAGAAGAAGCTGAAGCACAAGACAGTTGCCACTGAGTCTCTGCCAACCCTCAAGGATCTCTGGAGCTGGCACGGCCCTTTGGTGTTGTCCCAAATTGAGACCAGGCTTCTTATTCCCTTATCGGCCAGACATGGGCCTCTGGCTGTCCCTCGAGAGGGCTGTGTCCTAAGGTTAGGTGGTTCCCTATGCTGTGGGCATGTCCTGTGAGGGAAAGACCTGTGAGCTGTCCTCAGCCAATGTTCCCAGGAGCAGTGCGGTGGATGCATTGGCCTTGAGCATGACCCTGGGCTGAGTCTCAATGTTTCCCTGGCACTTCTCCTTCACCATCATCTTCCTTCCCAACCCACTTAATAAGCTCACAAACTGAGAAATCCTTGGGATGACATACGTAGAGCTTCTGCCTTTCCCTATGATTGGATGAGAGAACTCACTGGTGAAGACCAGAATCTCTCTCTCCAGAATCCAGACCCCTTACCAAGGGGCTTTGGTAGATCTCCAGAAGTGTTCCAACCTTAGCTGCAAATGCTGAAGTTGTTCCTAAAACAGTGGCCCCAGATTTGCTCTAGTCTGGTGGTTGTAGTTAGAGAGAGTTCAATTCCCTAAGGAGAGTCAGAGTGGTCTCGAAGTTCTTGTGGTCACTGGGACAGGCCGTGTAGACATCAAAACCTAAGGGCATGTTGAGGAGTCAAGAGGGGTTCTCCTTGGTCTCCTCAATGGTGAAGGGAAGACCAGTACATCTTGGTACTTCTTCCAGAGCCACCACAACAGAGGGGGCAGCAGTCGGGTGAATGGTCCAATCATGTCATTCAGGGATAAATCCTAAGGCGAGCCAAGGGAAAGACAGTGTTTGAGAGTCAGTTTTCCCATTCAGAGATCCTCCGGTCTCGGCAATTCGAGGTGGTATGAATATGGTTCCCAGGGCTCTGGAATACTCTGACATGAATCCCTCACTGTGATGAGGCAGATCACCAAGAGAGGCTTTCAGGGCACTGTGAGTGGGGTGAGGTGGCAGTTCGCTGGATGGTATGGCTGTCAATGGGAGAGATTTTTCTTAGCTCCTGTAAATGTAAGATGCATCAATGAATGGACCACGTGGCAAGATATTCTTGAGGGATGTGAGTGAGGAATACAATCCCATGTCATGCACCACTTTGGAAAGACTGAGTTCACTGCTAATGTGATCTTGTTTTCACTTACATTGGAAGGCGAGATGCAAGCACCCATCCCCACCTTACACCTGCCACAGTTTAAACAGAGCCCGGCTTTCCAGTTCCTCAAACATTTTGAGGATTTCTCTCTGACACTATATGCACCTGAGGTATTTTAAGAGATTCACATTATTTTCTCTTCCCTTTAGTTAGCTCTAAGGAAGCCAGTTTTGGTAACTCATACTTTGCTTCAAAAATAAACTTGCCATCCAGCTTTTCTAACTGCTTTACTCACGGACTTCAGCAAACAATTTCCAATTTGGAAAGCCAAAGATGGGATAACTTATCCCTCCTCTACCACAGCTGTACCCATGTGACTTACTGAATGTTGCTACCTGCCGGGTCGGCTCTCAGAAGCATCCCAGCCCTGGAGGAGACACTCGTGGGACACCCGTGCCTTCATCCTGGCCCTGGACTAGCCCTGGGACCTGCCACAACTCTTTCTCCCTTGAGGAACAGCACAGCCTTCCCCGCCTTCCTCTGGCAAGTCTCTTTCCTGGGTGGCTGTGCTGCATCAGCCAGGGCCTGGGCTGCCAGAAACCAGGATTTATCCTCAGCTTCTGGTTGTGCTGAGACGGCCTCCCTGGCAGAGTCCAGCCTGTCGAGTGTCTGAGTGACACTTGAAGCCATCAGGAAGGAGGGGATAACTCAGAAGTGACAAGCGACTCATCTGGTCCTTGCTTAGATGGTGTTTCCTGGGGATGAAGCTCAAAAGGCCAGGTGGTCACCCTTTAGCTGGTGGTTATCAGGCGGGTTCTCCGGTTGAGCCAGACCAGTGTCTGTTGGACACACACATGGGGAGCATTTCCGGATTATACTTGGTGAGGCTGTGTCCATGCACATCCACAGAACATTAGTTTGGTGGCATTGCCCGCAGGACCCCCACCTCACACCCTTCTTAGGCCTCATCTTTCCAACTTTCCAACAGGAAAGGTTCACACCTCGATGACAGAACCACCGCACAAGACTGTGGAAAAGACCCCAGTCACCCCAGGTGCTGCGTGCTTCATGGGCTCGGGCCCAGCTACCACTTCGGAAAAGCCAGTCAAATTACACCAGAGTGTGTAAACTGGTGATTGTCCAAGACCATGGACCTGAGAACCACACAGGCCCAGAGGTAACCCTGGGCAGCAAGGAACACTGTGGGGTCATTCCTGGTCAGGATGATGGTCTGTTGTCCTGGAAAACCAGAGCTCACCTGGGATCCATCAGGTCCAGCCTGAAAGGAGTGGCTTTGATGGACCTGACAGAAAGGCTAGGGACATCTAGGGACTTTCTGCCCTAAGAAATAATTGCATGCGGAAGTGCAGGAATGTTGAAAATCCTAGTTCACAGGGAGCACCAGGTTCATGGAGGGAGACCCGGCTGTGGCGCTAAAAGCTGCCTCCCCAATCTTTCCCCTTGGAGAGAAAATAAGCAAGAAATGGGAATCAGAGTCACGGACCCGAATCGCTGGAGGACCAAGCCCAGGTCAAAGGTGGACAGGGAGACCCTAGAGGGGCCCAGAGAGGGAGAGTCCTGCCTGCCCTTAGTCCATTTGCACAGGACCTTCCTCTAGTCTCGCCCTCTCCACGTGCACATTTTGAGGTTTTACAGGATTTTCCCCACTTACAGTGGATGCAATTCCAGGGGATGAATCAGAAAACAAGCTTCTCATTTGGGCAAGAGGAACTGGGAAATTGTTCCCTCGTCCTCGAAGTGCAGAAAGGCAGCCACAGTCCTGGGCAGGAATTGTGCTAGGCACAGGCCAGGGCCAGCTTTTTTCTTGTTGAGGAAGGTTAGGTCTGAGCTAACATCTGCAGCCATTTTTGCTGAGGAAGACTGACCCTGAGCTAACATCAGTGCCCATCTTCCTCTACTTTATATGCAGGACACCTGCCACAGCGTGGCTGGACAAGGGGTGCGTAGGTCCGCGCTCGGGATCTGTACCAGCAAACCTCAGGCCGCCGAAGGGGACCATGGGAACTGAACCTCTGCACCACTGGGCTGGCCCCAAGCAACTGCTACTTTTAAAGACACCCCCGTTTCCGTGGCTGTTGTTCTGCCAGAGAAAGTCCCTCCAACGTCTCAGCCCCGGGAGATAGGAGGGGCCAATTCTGCTCCAGGACCAGGTGTACCACACTGCAATGATCCTGTGCTCTGAGTGAGGGGGACACGGGACTGTCCTTCAGCAGCCAGGGACGGCACTGGCACTTCTCCCTTCACCACATACCCTGAGCTGAGGACTCTGCGATGTTTCTGAATTGAAGGAGGAATGTGAGATTCTGGATCTCATTTCCATGAGCACAGAGAGCGAAAGAACCACACGCCCACTCCCAGGCTGAGAAAAAACCAGAAATTTAATAGAATACCCAAACTTAGCATTTATCATTGACAACAAAAACATGGCCCCTCTAAAGAGGGAAAATAGGCACTGGGGAACATGTGTGAGGGAGATGGTGGGATCGTCCACTCCCTTGTGGCCTTCAGGGACCCCCAGGAAATGGATCACAAAGTTTACATTCACATCAGCATCTGAGAATTGGCCCCGTGCACCTGAGTGTCCCCGCTGTGTCCCTGGTGTAGTTCAGCTGGTCTAAGGAGCGTCATCTGCCACCACTGTTGGGCTCTTTTTTGGGGGCCTAGTGTCTGGATAGAGCGTGGAATTTCCTACAGGGCCTCCCCCAGAATCACAGCATACTCTCCCCCTTCCCTACACCCACTGTACCCTGTGACCCAGCCTCGGTGCTGAATGATCAGCCAATAGCACCCCATGTCCCTGACACAGGGGCTGATATTTAGTGTCACCCACTTCACAGAGGAACAAACCAGTCCCAGAAATGCGAGGGGAATCACCCATGACAGGACTGCTCAGCGGTGGAGCTGGGGCCCCAGCACCACAGCTGTCCGACTCCCCGGGCCCAGACTTGGCCTGAATCTGTACTGAGCCCCTGGATTCAGCCACTGCCAGTCCAGACACTCACTCAGCCCTGGGCTGGAAGATGAGTGGCTCTTCTTGTCTTTGAAGAAGAGTCGAATCTTTCTGGTCCACTGGTATTGTGGCTCCAGCTGACAGGACAGGCAGTAGCTACAGGACAGAGTGGAGTTGTGGGCTCCCAGGAGCCACACCTGAGCTGTGCCTCCCAGAGCCTCCCAGCAGCTGGAGTCCCAGGGCCCTAGGCTTCGCCATGCAGCCAGATCTGAGGCTGACCATGCATCCACGGCCATGGACACTGGAGCTGGTCTGCAGAGAGAGTTTGCCCTGACATCACCCAACTCCTGCCCCGCCTCACCTCGCCTCCTCGCTCAGGGGCTCCATGGCCTGGAACCAGGCCCCAAAGTGCTGATCGGGCCGCACGGTGTACAGATTTGCAGCCTTCTAGACCAGCTTGATGTCCTTGATGAATTTAAATTCCTGGGACAGAGGAAGGACAGGATGGAGACATGGCCTGGGTGGGGGACCCTGCAGGGCTCTTGGAGGGGGTGAGGAGGGGGACAAGGAGCCTCTGTGGGGCCTTTGCCAACTTGGGAACTCTCCTTCCCTACAATTCCAGTCAGGACATGCCTGTTCTCACAGTGGCCAGAAATAAATCCTCTACCAGGAAGGGGTCCTTGATGCCAGCCCTTCCCCACCCGCCAATGCCATAGGATCCCCAGCTCTGTATATAGAACTCTGCAAATAAATGTCAGACCCCAGGGATTGAGCTAGAGGGCTTCTTATGTAAAGGGGGGCTCTCTGATTCCCACACACCCACTCTCACCACAGTGAGGCCGCAGCTCCTTACTTCATTCCGACAGCTGAGCACATTCCCCTGGAAGGCAGACAGCCAAAGTCCATCAGAATCAGCCCCCTTAGGCCAGAACTAGCCCCCACCCTCTTCCAGTGTTGCACTGCTGCCAGTGTGCAGGCCCTTCCAGAAACCGTACTTGGACCTGGGCCAGGCTCTAGGCTCCAGACCTTGGGGCAGAGAAGCTGAGACCTTGTAATCTAACCCTCTCTGATGACACATGGGGAGACTGAGGCCTCAGGCAGGAAGGGACAGCTCAGCTGCTGATGTGCTTCCTGACTTGGAGGGGCCCAACTTCTCTTCCCTCTTGGGCAGGGCCAGAGGGAGAGGCTGAGTCCAGCTCAGACACCACCTCCTGTGGCCACACAGCCAGGCAGCTCTGAGCCTCAGCTGCCCAGGGAGCCTGGATGGTGGCCTAGGCAGAGCCTCCCATCACTGGTTGCTGAGATGGGCCTGATGCCCTGGCTTCCACAGGAGGCTGGGCAGCTCTGCAGAGGACCTTTCCAAGTGTGAGAGCTCAGGGCTCAGGCAGGACTCTCTCCTCCCAAACCCTCAGGAGCCTGGTCCCATGGCCCCACCTCCAGGCTCACTCACCTCCACATAATAATCCATCTCATCATGCAGCAGCTCCAGGTACCTGAAGATCATCTCGAGGGAGGGGATGACACCCACTCCATCAAGGTGGGGATGGTGATGAGTTCCAGCACTCAGGTGCCCCCATGAACCCTCCCCTGAAACACCTTACCCAAGCCACCTGCCCACCCCAGACTCCTACATACAGTAGCCTAGAACCCTCAGGAGCCCCCACCACACACAATTCCCTCCTCCCCTCCCCTCCAGGAACACCAAACTCCCCCAGTCATGTCCCAGGGCTGGCTGAGGGCCAATCCCATGGAGTGTGGCCCCTGCCCCTCCCAACCCCAAAACCATACTGCTCCCAGCCCTTCCAGGCCTCATCCTGCTCACTGCCAATGCAGGCACTTCAGGCTCGGCAGCCACAGCAGATGCACTGGAGAAGGAAGGCCCCTCTCCTGGGGGAGGCATCTAGCTGGGATGGGGAGTGCCCTCTCCTCTGACTCCTGGGCACCTCCCCCACAGGCACCCTCACCTGCTGACGCCACCTCTCCCAGGCTGCATGGCAGGCCCTCTGTGCAGTGGCCAACACGGAGGTCACCTCCTGTCAGTGCCGAGGACAGCGTCAGAGAGGTCCTGCTCCCTTCCACATGTTCCCCAAGGTCCCTGTCCTCAGACCCTGGCCATCTGGCTCCAGTCCCCTGCTGCCTATGCTGTTCCCACCTCCAGTGTGCTCTGATTCTAGACTAGTCCTGGCTCCAGGACTCACTCCTGTGTGACCTTGGGCCTGCCCAGGCCTCCCTGAGCCTCTTTCCTCATCAGGAAAGAGTGGGGAGAACTCTACCTTCCTCCAGCGCTCTCCTGAGGACTCCGTGTCATCTGACTGTCATCACTGCTCTCCCCTCACCTCTCGAGGAGAAGCCAGCACAAATCTCCTCCCATTCCTGTACTCCCTTGGACGGTATCACCCCACCGTGAGGCCTGCACCACGTCATCTAGCTCCATTTCCCAGAGGAGGAGACTGAGGCCCACAGAGGGGCAGAGACTTGATCAAGGACCCACTGAGGAGAGGCCACTCTCCCTCCCAACCAGATCCCTGTCCCTGCTGCCTTCACCCCTCGCCCTGCCCCACCACTGACCATGGTCCCGACCTCTGCACTCCCAGAGTGTGTCCCAACAACAGCCAAACTGAGACATGGAGGGAGAGGGCAGAGGGTGTTGGTGGGGGCCGTGCAGCATCTCCTTCCTGCCCCACCGACAGGGGTCTCTGAACCCCAGGATGGCCTTACCATAGCCTCACTTCCTAGGATGCCCTCAGGATGTTCCCGGCCCCCCCCTCCGCACCCCTCCTCTCAGATCCCCAGCCCCGGGTTACCTTCAGGAACAGTCTCTTGCTCACCTGCTGCTCTCCCATGCACCACTTCTTAAAGGTGTAGGAACTCTCCCTGGGGGAGTGGGGAAAGAAAGAAAGAAAGACTATGGGGTGGTTGAAGGGCAAATCCCGTTTTTTTGAGATCCCAGAAGATCCAAACAGCCTGGGGCCTGGATGAGGGATTTCACTGGGGTGTTGTGAGACCCGAGGTCCCCATGGGACTGGGCAGGGGCCTCTCCTGTTGTCACCTGGGGCCTCCATTCCCATATCTACCACACAGATCTGTTTTGAACACTCTTGGTTTCAGTTGGATTGAGATTTCTGTTGCTGCAAAGGAAACACTTGAGAATCTCCAACTGGGCTCAAGTCAGGATCTGATATTGAAGGAAATGAATTCCTTGGCAGAACTGCTGGCCTAAGGGCCCTGAGAGACTCAGAGACCCAGGAACCAGATCAGTCTGTATCCCAGGTATTCACTGTCTCCCAGGTGGTCTCAGCTGACTGCGGGTGTCATGGAGACCCAAGGCCGGCTGCCAGGTCCACCTCACCCTCGTGGTGCTTGGATGGAGAGCAGCCTACCCACCTGGAAACTTGTCCCCAGGTCTCTTTGAGATGCTTAATGGCAGGGCTCTGCAGAGCAGAAAGGATCGTGTGGAAGGATGAGAAGTTTCTGAGGAAGGGAAGAGATTGAGCTGTGAGGGGGTGCTGGAGCTCTCCAACTCTGGATTCTGTACCCTCATGGACTTCTCCTGTCCTGGATGAGACAGATGCCCAGGAAACCCAGGGAGGGCACACCTGGGACCCGACGAGAAACACTGCCAGGCACAAGGATTTTTAGCTCAACACAAGGAAGGAGCACAGGAAGGAAGTGAGCTTTCCACCACCAGGACCTCAAGTCAAGGTCACTGTGGCCCTGGCAGGAGGGTCTAGCGACAGTGCAGGGACTCAGACCACAGACTTCAATCTCGACAGCTGAGAAACAAGAGGCAATTCCCATGACTCCAGACAGGGCCTCCATGGGCCTCCCATGACTTACCTCGGCCACATGAATCCACATCTCCACCACCCTGGCCCTTTCCTGGGCTGACATGTCCTGGGCCCCGAGGCACGTAGCGATGACACTGTTGGTCAAGGTGTTCGTCTGTGCCACAGTGTCACGGATGGTGGGTGCCAGTTACTCGCAGTCCCTGTTGTCTCGCTGGGACCAAATGGAGCCCAGGCAGTGGGCAGGCACTAATTTCTTGAACAGCTCCTGAGGAAGATTCAGAGTGTTGCCAGCACTGCCTCACCCCAGCTCGGCATCCATGGTCCCCCACAGTCCCAGGCGGGTTGCGGACAGAGCGGGAGCTCAGGGGACAGAAGATGTGATCTCTGAGGTGTGTGGGACTCCCTGGGTTTTGTCTGTGTCCACTGAAGGTGCCAGCACAAGATGACCCGGGATACAGTGCTGTGCAGAAGGGAGGGCATTTGCTCCCAGCCCCATCTCACTTCCTCCAAGCTCCGGAACACTGCCCTCACCAGCCCACCCCAAGGGACATCTTCCACCCATCCCAGACCCCCTAGGGTCCCAATCCCCAGTCCCATGCACATTCCCCCGAGGCAGGGAGAAGCACCGTCTTTGTGTATTGTTTCCACTGGAGTCAGTACACATCAGGTGCCTGATACATTCTGAGGATTTGAAGGCACCCTAGGCACATGCATGATCGGCCCAAGGACCTGGCAGCACTTCAGTGAGCTCCCTCCCTCACCAAAGGGCCAGAGGCTGCCCAACTTCCCCTCTGTTCCACCTCATTCATCGGCACAGCCACCCCATGCAGCAGGTGCCCTTAGTGTCTGGCTCTGCTGTGCACGTGGGAACAGTGGGTGCTTGGGGTTAAGAAAGTGCCCAAGTCACAGTGTTGGTAACGGGGGAGCAGGAATGTGGACCTAGATCATCAGGTTTTAGATCACGGAATCACAGGTGTGGGGCAGTTCATGGCACTGGAAGGCACGGCCCCCTGCCCTGCAAGCCCCGCTGCTCACTGCCTCCATCCTTGTCAACTGCTCTGCCAGCAGCTGGGGAGGGAAGTCCAAGAGGTTCGGCTTCTCCTCCCTCAGCTGGTTTTCGGTGGTCACAGCACAGGGTCCAGTGGGCTCTTGTTCAGGAGCTGGCACTGGGGCTGAAGTTGCTAGTGGCCCTTCCTCCAGCCCTGTAGGGTCTGATGCAGGGCATGCTGCCTCCAGCTCTGCCACAGGTGGTGGGGCTTGAGCTGGAGCTGGCTCTAGCCCAGGGGCTGCCTCTGGCTCTGGCTCTGGCTCTGGCTCTGGAAGTGACAGGAGCTTTGGAGCTGGCTCTGGAGTAGGATAAGGAGAAAGTGTCACCCACACACCTGAAAGTTCATGTGCCTTTCCAAAGACAGGAAAGACTCCACTGCCTTTAAGGAAATTCCAGCCCATGAAGCCCAGCACAGACAGTCTTCCCACACTGCAGTGCCCTCACCTTTCTGCTCAGGATCAATGGCCTTGAGAGGCTCCAGGTGGCCGGGCAGATGGTAGGCTTGGCCCTCCGGGTCTGAGCCACCAAAGCTGATGTGACCAGTGGCCGGCCTCACCATCCAACAGGGAAACTGCAGGGGCTCCCTGAAATCCTGCCCTTGGTCCCGCCAGCTTCCCAGCATCAGATAGATAGCACTGTGGGGAGACAGATGGGCCATAGTGTCCGAGGCCCGACCTTTCCTTAAACACTGCCCTCCCAAGGCACCCTGGTTAGCATCTGGGCTCTTGTGCCAGCCCATTCCCTCTAGAGGACAGCCCAACCCCAGCTCTGATCCATGGCTGGCCGTCCTGGCAGTGGCAGGACTGCTCATCCAGCAGGTTGAACACACAGTCTGTGGGAGTCTCTTGTTCCCACTGACACTCTTCTCCCAAAGGGTCTGGACACAGCCCACCCCACCCAGCCCTCCATGCACGTGGGCAGCTGGACTGAGGACGGAGGCAGAATTTGAGCAGCTTGCTCAGGCACCTCCTGCTCTGGACCTGGTGGTGGTGGTCACAAAGAGTGGATGTGGAGAAAGGGAGTCAGAAGGAGCTGGGAGTCTGGTGGGAATGTGTCTCTAGGGGACAACTCAGCCCAGCCTCCATTCTGGTTCTGAGGGGCCCTGGGACCATCCACAGCTCTCTATGACTCCTGTCCTCCTGGAGTGGAAGCCACCAGAACTCAGCCCTCCCATGGGAATCTAAAGATGAGTGAGATGCAGGGTTCTGCCAGGCCTGCCACAGCCACAGCCTCCGTCCTCTCCCCGTACTCTGTTATCTAGAGACAGGAGGCCCTCCTTCTGGACCCAAAGATCACTCACTTTTTTTTTGGATTACTTGTGAATTGATGTTATCATAGTTTACAAAATTGTGACGTTTCAGCTGTACACTATTATTTGTCAGTCATCTTATAGGTGCACACTTCACCCTTTGTGGCCACCTCACTCCCCCTTTTCCCCGGTAACCAGTAATCTGTTCTCTTTATCCATGTGTTTGTTTATCTTCCACAACTGAGAAGAACCACACAGTTTGTCTTTTTCTCTCTGTCTTATTTTGCTTAACATGATACCCTTAAGGTCCATCCATGTTGTTGTCAATGGGACGATTTTGTCATTTTTTACAGCTGAGTAATATTCCATCAGACCACTCACTTTTTTAGTTGGTCCTGTGGAGAATCATCCCACTCACAAGGGGAGAAGGTGCTTCCAGAACTCCCATAGGGTATGAGGACATCACACGGGATGGATGGTGGACGGGACCTGCTACCAAGGCCAAATATGACTGTCTGACACTCAGACTAGACTTGAAGCCCAGGGAGAGTCTCTCCTTCATTCAGTGAGTTACACTCAGTGTCTCCAGATGTCATGCCAGAGTAGGTGCTTTATATACCTTGTTGATTGAACTCCATCCAGCACCATCCTAGATATATGAGGTGTCCTGGGACCACCCCATTGCTCCAGAGATCCATAAATTGCTACACCAAGGACAAACAGCAAGGCCAGAAGGATGGAATCTCAAACTCCTTGACAGGGTGCTCTGCATGTGCTTTCCCAAACTCAGAAAGGCCACAAGCCAGTGATGGCACAGGAAGACTACTTTTCATGGGACACAGAGAAATAATCACCAACAACAACCCCAGCATGGCCCATATCCCTCTCAGAGTCAGGCAACAGGGAAGCACCTGGATGGCTGATCCCATTCGTCCCTGGGAGAACCCTAGCAAGTTCATCTTCCCCCACCACACTGTCCACAGGAGCCAACTGAAGCTCAGAGTGATGTGGTGACATTCCCAGCTGACAGTGGGCGGAGTCACCACTGTGCTCAGTAGGAGGAGGGCAGTCACTTGGGAAACAGCTGGTCCAGGACCCGGTGGGTTGTGCCGAAGACCAAGTAGTTGCTCGTGGATGTGGTACCACTGCAGGTGACTCTACCTGGGAAGGCTGGTACCGGGGACTCTGACAGGTGCTCCATCCTGCCTGTCTGGAGGGCATGCATCCTGTAGGCCTCGGTTAGACAGAAACTGGACTCACCTTCACGCTAGGTGGGATGAGGAGAGACATAGAGTTAGTGGCACCACCGTGAACCAACAGGAGGCTCGAGGTCTGCAGCTCACCCAGGAACTCCTAGCACCCGCCAGACATGTGCCACAGGAGAGACAGGGGCTCCCACACTCAGCAAGGTTCTTGGCTTTCAAAGTACAATCTGACTTTGGGCGGGCGAAGGATTCAACATTCATCTCCCTCGAGGCCATTTGCTCACTGAGGAACAACTGACCTCCCTCTGTGAAGAGCACCAGCCCAGTGAATCCTCAACAGACACCCACTCTCTAGAGAGGAGAACAGAGGCTTAGGCATGCCAAGTGGCGTCTCAAGGTCCTGTGGGTGAGAACTGAGAACTGAGAAGGACTGAGGGACATTCCTCTAAACTACCTGAGGCTTCATCAGACCCTGACCTGGAGGGAAGTGTTATGTGGCCACCTCATC